AATAGGAACTGAAGTAAGTGAGCATTAACCCCTTCAGTACCACTACAATAAAGCAGTAAGGAGGGGGCTGCTTGTCGCAGAGATGTCCTTAACTCTGGCTATCAGGCCTGAGTTCAAGTCCCACCTGCTCCAAATATGTGTCATTCATGCCTGAACAGATTGGTTAAAAATATCTATAATGGTAAGGGCGGCAGATCTCCTCCCCTTAAGTTCATTAGTGAACCAGATGGGCATTTCCTGCAATCAATGTTAATTTCCAGGCCTCATTACTGAAATTAACTTTATATTCTGGGTTCATTAACTTTATCTAATTGAATTTAAATTCTGCTGACTGTGGTAGTGGGATTTGAACCCTTGTCCCCAGAGCATTACTCATTCAGTGACATTAACACTAATTCCAAAAAGGTGGTATGAAATATGAAGTCTGCTGCTGGTGGGAGCCTGGAGCTAAGGGAAAGGTAGGGGTAAGGATAATGTTTAGTGTAGGCTGATGAGATGGGAGTATCTGATTCATGGTCTCGCTTTGGGGCACTTGTTTGGGTGGAACATGGCAGTAAATGTCAGCAATCTGCTTCTGAAAAGTAGATAGCCATTTGTGATGTTGTTGATTCAAAACTAAGACAAAACAAAATAGTTTGCTGTGTGGACTTGGTGCTTTTGGATTTCTGCTGGGATTTTCTTTTAAGCCTCACACATCCACATGTGCATGTGCCACACATGTTATTGATTTACAAAGAAAAAAAAACTTGGAGTGTCTGAAAGTCATTGCTTAGATTGTGGCTTTCAATGAAATGTTATTGCTTGTGTGAGCTCATAGCACCCATATAGACACTGTTCAAGTGCAGTACTTGCATGGTAAAGCTCTTGCTTGACAAATGATATCTTTCTGTACTGTGGTTGTAGATTTAAACAAGAGTTGAGACTGGAATTTGAATTGAGTTCTTTAGGGTACGCAGTCAGATAGTGAGATAAAGGAAATCATTAATCATAGATTCATACAATACAGATGAGACCCTTTGGCCTATCGTGTCTGTCCCAATATAAAACTATTCTAAAATCTACACTAGTCCCACTTTCCTGCACTGGGCCCATAGTCTTTAATGTTATGACACATCAAGAGCTCATCCAAGTACTTTTTAAAGGTTGTGAGGTTTCCTGCCTCAATTACCTTCCCAGGCAGTGCATTCCAGACATGCACCACCCTCTGGGTGAAAAAGATATTTTTGAAATCCCCTCTAAACTTCCTGCCCTTCACCTTAAAATCATACCCTCTTGTTATTCACCCTCTACCTTGGGAATAACTGCTTTCTACCACCCTGTCCATGTCCCTCATAATCTTATACACTTCTATCAGGTCCCCATCTTAGCCTTCTTTTCTCTAAAGAAAGCAACCCATGCTTACATAGCCTCTTTTCAAAGCTAATGTGCTTTATCCCAGTCAACATCCTGGCTTTTTGCCTCTGTACCCTATTCAGCGCAATCACATTTATCGCATAGTCTTATGACCAGAACTGCACACAGTACCCCAGCTATGACCTAACCAAACGTCTGTACAGCTCTGACATAACTTCCCTGTTCTTATAATCTATGCCACGACTGATAAAGGCAAATCCCATATGCTTTCTTAATTACTCTATTAACCTGCTGCCTTCAGTGATTTGAGGAGAACTACCTCAAATTCCCTTTGTTCCTCAAGCTTCCTAGTGCCTTGCCATTCATTCAGTACTCCATTGTCTTGTTATTTCTTCCAAATTCCACAACCTCACATGTATCAGGGTTAAATTAAACCTGCCACTAAGCTGACCAATCCATCTATATCTTACTGTAACCAAAAATTTTCTTCCTCACTATCAACAACGTGGTCAATCTTTGTGATAGTAAGAACTGCAGATGTTGGAGTCAGAGATAACACAGTATGGAGCTGGAGGAACACAGCAGGCCAGGCAGCATCAGAGGAGCAGGAAAGCTGATGTTTCAGGTCGGGAACCTTCTTCAGAAAATCCTTGTGTCATCCACAAACTGACTTATCAACCCCCCCTCGTATTTTCTTGTTTGTCATTTATATACAATACCCAACACTGATCCCTGTGGTACGTAACTGAACACCAGCCTGCAGTCACACAAGCAACCATCTACCCTCACCATCTGTCTCCTGTCACTAAGCCAATAGTAGATAAAACTTTCCAAGTTACCCAGGACCCCATATGCTTTTACCGTCTTTATCAGTCTCCCGTGTAGGAACTTGCCAAATGCTTTGCTGAAGTCCATATAAACTACATCAATTGCACTACACTCATATACACAGCTTTTCACATCCTTGAAAAATTCAGACATTTGATCAGGGTCAGTCACCATGGCTTTGTCAGAGGGAGGTCATGTTTGTTAGACCTGACCTCCCTCTGATAAAGCCATGGTGACTGACCCTGATCAAATCTTTACTCTCCAAGTGAAGAGTAATTCTCTCCTTCAGAATTTTCTCCAATTGTTTCCCCTATCAGACTCACTGATCTGTAATTCTCTGGTTTATCCCTATCACTCTTCTTGAGAAACTGTCCTCTGGTCCTGTTGCACCTCCCCTGTGGCCAGAGAGGAATTCAAAATTTAGGTCAGGGTCCCTGCAATTTCCTCCCCCCTCTCCCTCAGTTGCCTGGGATACAACTTATCAAGACCTGGGGATCTGTTCACTTTTGAACCCACTGAAATCTTCAATACCTCCTTAATCCTCATGTGAATCTGCTCATGAACTTCACAGTCCATCTTCTCCAATTCTGTACTAATGTCCTTTTTCTCCAAGGTGAAGGCAAATGTGAAGTACTCGCTCAATGCCCTACCAAAGTCCTCCTACCAAAGGTTTCACCCTTGCTCCCTAGTCCCTCTTTCCCTGGTTATCCTCTTCCTCTTGATATAATTATACAATATCTTTGGATTCTCCATAGTCTTACCATGTGTGTTTTACATGTCTCCTCTTTGCTGTCCTAATTGCTTCCTTAAGTTCATCCTTACACTTTCTCCACTCCATTAGGGCCTGCATTGATTTGCTCTCTTTGTTAAAAGCCTCTCTATTCCTCCTTATCCTGTCCTGAATATTCCTATACATTCGGGGTTCTCTGGACTTTTTGCTACTACATTTCACCCAAAGGGGAACATATTTGGCCTGTACTCTTGCCAATTCCATGCTGAATGTCCTCCCCCACTACTATTCTGTTTAAAACAAACAGTATTGTGATTGCTAAAATACTCCGCCCGTCACCTTGAGCTCCTGTTCAGGTTTGCTCCCCAGAATTAGGTCCAGCGCTGCACCATTCCTCATTCAACTCTATGAGCTGACACAAAGAACCCTTTTTAATAAATTTCAAGAACTCTCTCCCCTCTAAATCCTTTACACTATGACTATCCCAATTAATGTTGGGGAATTTGATATCCCCTAATATAATTGCCCCCTTATTATTTTTACAAATCTCAGTGAATTGTCCACATTTCTGCTCTTCTTTGCCTGCTGTTTAGGGTTCTATAATACATTCCCAACAGTGTGACTGCCCCCTTTTTTTTATTCCTAAACTCTCCCCAAAAAGCCTCACTTGAAGACACTTCCAAGATTTTGTCCCTCCTTATTGCAGTAACCGACACCTTAATTAAAAATGCAACACCACCTCCTCTGTTACACCTCCCTTCTCCCACTTGAAGATCCTATACCCTAAAAGATTGAGTTCCCAGTCCTGTTCCTCCTTTAACCATATCTCTGTGATGGCCACATCACAAATCAACATGTCAATCTATACCCTGAACTTATCTGTTTTACCTATAATACTCCTAGAATTAGAGGCTTCCCTTGAAACTCAATATAGCTGAGCTCCCTCTGCCTTGGTTCCTTTTCTAAGGTATGGAGTGTCACTATTGAACGAATGCACCGTGTCCCCTGTTCCCTGAAAACTAGTTTAAATTCCTCACAGCAGCACTGGGAAAACCCCCCACAAGGATATCTGACCCATTCTGGTTCAGTTGCAGACTGTTCCCCTGTAGATCTCCCACTTTCCCAGAAAGAGTCCCAGTGACCAGGAATCTAAAACCCTCTCTCCTGCACCTACTCCTGAGCTATGCTTTCACCTGTGCTATACCCCTATTTTTACACTCACTGGTACTGGACATAATCCGAAGATTACAACCTGCTCTTCAGTTCACTGCCTAACTCCCTAAATTCCTGATGCAAGACCTCATCCCTCATTCTATCTATATTGTTGGCATCAACGTGTACCATGACTTCTGTCTTGTCACCCTCTCCCTTCAGGGTTCCCTGCAGCTGCTCAGAGACTTCCCTGAGCCTGGTGCAAGGAGGACACATACCATCCTTAAGTTATGTCTGTGGAACGTGTCTGATCCCCTAACTAATGAATCCTCTATCACTACCACTCCTGCTTTTGTCTTCCTCTCCTCCTGTACAGTCAGGCTGCTTAATGTAACAACCTGTTTGATTTTACTTATTGACTACTTAGGAAGTGAATGGTGAATGGGATGTTGTGACAAAGGTGCGAGCACTAAAAATCTGGTTTAAATAGTTGACAAAATGAATAGCAAGTGTATGATACCTGTTATTGGGACATGTACTGAAGAATTACTGCTGAAGAAAGCTGTTTTGATAACATTACATGGTAAATGGCTGCAAACCTATTTGGTCACAAGAAACAGTGGTGGAGAAAGAGAGGGGCGCAAACAGAGGGCAAGAATTAATTTCAGGTTCAGGCTAACTGCAATGATGACTGCCACTGTGTGGCAACTCCCACATCTGGCATGTCACTATCTTCTGGAGAAGAGGATGTAATTTTGCTATTTACTCGGGGAGAAAGAGGGCATATATTTCCAGATGTCGATCAATTTGGTTTTCTGGGCGAGGAATCGGACACCAATGAGCAGCTCCAAGGGCAATAAATATTATTTTTGTCAGACACTTTCACAGGAAGTGTCTTTTTTTCACAGCTTTGCTGGGACAAGTGTCTGTCTTCCAAATGGGACGAGCTTCTCATGCTGTACATGAGGTGGGAGAGGGTCAGGAACATTTAGCAAGAAAGTAAACAGGAAGACGGAAGCGTCCCTGGCTCTGTGTGTGTTTAGATGCCACTGCCTACAGTCCAAACTCAGATCTGTCGATAGTCGCTCACTGGTCAAAGATTGACATCGGCTGCACTGTCCAAGGTAAAGTGATCAGATGTGCCCTGTTTCTCTTTCTGTCCCTTTGATGCTTGTACTGTCTTTCCTGTACAGTTCTGCTGGTTACAGGGAATGAACACTAAAACTGCTGTCACTGTTCGGAATCGGGTTTGATTTGATGATTCCGAATTTGTTTTCACAAATGTAGTTGCCAGCCAGAAAAACAGTATAAAATTTCTCCCGGTCCGATAACGTTTCTTTTTAGGATTTGCATCCAGCTGGCTATGATATCGATTTGGAGTCCCGATCAGATTGATATTTTGTGTTTAATTTTCACCATGGCTGCCCTGGACGCTGTTATCTTCAATCCCGTGTTCTATCACTCATCTATCTCCTCTCGTTCATTCATTCACATTTCCTCCGCTTTGATCAATTTGCCTTCAGCCACATCTCTCTCTTCCTTTAAGATTCTCGTCAAAACCTAACCCGTCACCGCACCTGAAGTCTCCCCCTTTGTCTCCGTGTCCACATTTCCCTGTGGTTCTGTGGAGTGCTTTGGGTTAACTTTCTACAATAATGCAACAGTGTGAATGCAAACTGTGGATATGAGAATTCACATGATTTATATCAATTCTTTTGGAACTTGTTTGTGTGAGGAGCGTTCTAAATGCATGATAACAATACCCAACACTACTCTTCACTACATGTCTCAGAGATGTGAATTATTGAAACTAGACACTGCAACTTTTCAATCTAAGAAATGGACTGTACAAATCAGATATGCAGTAAAGCATCCTTTTTTTTCCTTTATTCATTCACAGGATGAGGGCATCGCTGGCTAAGTGATTTATTGCCCATCCCTAATTGCCCAGAGTGAACAACATTGCTGTGGGTCTGGAGTCACGTGTAGGTCAGACTGGATAAGGATGGCAGTTTCCTTCCCTAAAGGACATTAGTGAACCAGATTGGTTTTTCCAACAATTGACAATGGATTCACAGTCATCATTATACTCTTAATTCCAGATATTTATTGAATTCAAATTCCACCAGGATTCGAACCCAGGACCCCAGGACATTATCTGGGTCTCTGGATTAATAGTCCAGCAATAATACCACTAGGCCATCGCCTGCCCTTAGCTTAGCCCACCTTCACTTAGCCCAACACCAGGTATTGTCTGTCTCTTAGAAACCACCTTGCGCTAATGCAAATCTATCCAATATTACGCATCATCTACCTTTCCAGCGCTTTCAGATGAATTAACAATTACCACTGAATTTTCTGACTTTTATGTGGTGTGCAATCATATCTAGTCTTTGTTGTGTGAGACCAAGCGAGAAACCACAAGGTTCTAGATCAGGAAGTGAGCCTGCACAAGTTTCCTTTCGCACTTTGTAATGTCTTTTGCAGAAGTGGATTGGAAAAGTACTGGAACCAATGCAGCTCAGCTGTTCAATAAAACAAACTTTAGGGAGAAGACACTGCTACCTTGCTATTAGGGAGGCAATGGCCTAGTGGCATTATTACTGGGCTATTAATCCAGAGACTGAGGTAATGTTCTGGGAACCCAGGTTCAAATTCTGCCATGGTAGATGGAATTTGAACTCAACAAAAAAATCTGGAAGTAAGAATCTAATGAGACCAGGAATCCATTTTTAATTGGTTGGAAAAACCCATCTGGTTCAATAATTTCCTTTAGGGAAGGAAACTGCTATCCTTACCTGGTCTGGCCTACATGTGACTCCAGACCTACAGCAATGTGGTTGACTCTTAGTAATTAAGGATGGGCAATAAATGCTGGTCCAGTCGGTGCGGTCCTCATCCTGTGAATGAATTTGAAGAAAACCTTCCTTAAACATCTGGCCTCCATGTGACTCTTATCTGCAGTATGTTCACACAAGTGCCTGTACAATTAACTCAATTGTACAATCATTAATAGCTGTAGGACTTTTTTTTTCTGTTATGGAATGCATCTTATGGAGCAATGTGAAAGGATGGCACAGGAGATAGAAACATACAGGTGGAATCTTTTTTGAGGTGTTAAGGGTCTCAGCTGCAGCCTAGAGAACTGTCACAAGACTTTCAATGCCTGTTTTATTTTTGAGGTTCACCCAAGCCAGCCAGTCAGGCTCCTGACAGATGTTTCTATGGAGTCAAGGCCCCAGTGGGAGAAGTCTCACTGACTAAGAGCTCGCAGGCAGGAGGAAGAGACCAGCAGCTCTTTTGAGGCAGAAACTCTCTCGGAGTGTCATGAAGCTGTGGAATTCTTTACCACAGATGCCTGTGGAGGGCTGGGTTGTTCACTTAATTCAAGGCTGAGATAGACAGACTTTTATTCAGGGAGGGAATCAGAGGTTATAGAGATAAGGCAAGAAAATGAAATTGAGAATGAGCAGATTGCTGTCGCCACTTCCTCCTGATGTCTAGCCCCTCACTCGTTCCTTTGCTTATAGGACTCCTCCCCCCAGCCCTGGAGGTGACATGCTGGTTGTAAGGATTTAGCTGCTATGCTTGCCCCATAGCGACATCCCTCGCCCTGCCTGAAGCAGGGTAAATACCAGCAGTGGTAGCAAGAGGCCATTAATTGGTAATTAATTCCACCTCCAAACTTGGCACCAGCTAGCACAGAGGATTGTGATTTGATTTGATTTAATTTGGTTTATTTTTGTCACATGTAACTAAATACAGTGAAAAGTTTTATTTTGCAGTACAGTTAGATCATAACATACAAGGACATGCAGACCATAGGGTGTATAGACAGAGTAGGCATATAAGGTTATGGCTGCACAGGAGATGCACAAATTGAGATCAACATTAGATTTGAAATTAGAGAGGTCCATTCAGCGGTCTAATAACAGCGGGGAAGAGCCTGATAGAAGAGGTTGAAAGAGAGTATAATGGGGGTGGGAAGGGCTTTGATGTTGGCTCCCTTTCCACGACAATGAGAAGTGTAGTGAAGTCCATGAGTGAGAGGTTGGCTTGCGTGAACAGTCTTGGGACTGTGTTCACAACTTTCTGTAGTTTCTTACGGCCCTGGGCTGAGCAGTTGCCACCAAGCCATGATGCACACAGATAAAATGTTTTCTGTGATGCGTCTGTAAAAGTTGGTGAGGGTCCTATGGACATGCCAAATTTCCTAACCCTTCTGAAGAAGAAGAGGCAGTGTTGTGCCGTCTTAACCTTTGCATCTACGTGGGAGGTCCAGGACAGATTGTTGGTCATCGTCACTCCTCGGAGCTTGACGTTCTCGACCCTCTCCACATCAGCTCCGTTGGTGTAGATTGTGCCCCACTGTTTCCAATAGACATGGGATTTACAACATGGTCATTGTTACAAGGGTAAATGGAGAGTTTTATGACAAAAAAACAAAAGTAACATCTTTGCTAACGGAGTTGTTAGGTTCCTTTAACAATAATAAACGAGGCATAAACATTTTTCCTTTATTTATTCATTAAAGGGATGTGTGCATTTATTACCCATCTCTAATTGCCCTGGTGAAGGTGGTGGTGAGCTGCCTTCATAAATGCTGTAGTCTTTGGAATTAGGAACACCCACAATGCTACCAGGCAGGGAGATCCAGGATTTTGATCCAGCAACACTGAAGGAACAACAACATATTTCCAAGTCAGGGTGGTATGTGGCTTGGAAGGGAACATTTAGATGTTGGCATTTGTATGTATTTGTTGCCCTTGTCCCTTTAGATGGTACAGATCATGTCTTTGGAGGATGCTGTTGAAGGAGCCTTAGCGAGTTACTGCAGTGCAGCTTGTAGATGAGGCTTGTCCAACCTTATTGCATGGGGACAGTCACGTTTCAGATACGTCTGTCATCCAGGGGGTCGGTGAGCAAATTTCAAAAAGACAAGTTATCGCTCAAGACTTGAATTACAGCAGCTAGTCATTCCTCTAAGCTGCAAAAGCTCAAAATGAATTGTGATTAACAAAGAAAGTTAATGCTTGTATATTAAAAGAAAAGGCACATAAAGTTGCCGGAATTAGCAATAAATGCTGTGTCAGGTCTCCCCTGACTGAAAAGTGACGCCATTAACTGAGGAGCTATATTTGTACCTACATTGTTTTCTTGTTGGTTGCCAACTAACAAGTCTGTGGATCTGTGGCTTATTCCTTATCTTATTTTCTGTATTGTTATTTTTCCGTGGTTCCTGACAGCATTGTGACTAGAGTGCGGTAAATCAGTGCACCAGAGTTATTTAACCCTTGAAACCCCCGTGTTCCCATGGCTTTGCGCAGTGTGCTTGCTCAGGTATACCTTATCTGTGAAAACCAAAAAGGACATTGACACTCAGTTTACATTCTGCTACAGTTGATTCAAGAGCTGAATGCTGGAAAATAGATGGGGGAAGCTGATGTTGACAGTAGGGCAATGTTTAACTGAGTATGGCAGCAGAGAGCCCTGGCAAAGCTTAGTTCACTGTGGGTTAAAGAGAAAAACAATCTTCCAAAAATGGTGTAATATGAGATGATCCAGAGGAAAATGATCATGGATTTTGGTTGTTACTATACACAGCCATCAGATATTATTGGACAGCCTTGAAACCACTGCCAGCTGCTGCTAACTACCGTAAGGTCAAGCACTGGGATGTTTGCTGATTATTTCACGAAGTTCAGTCTTTGTAACCTCACTGATAAATAAACTGTACCAACAATAGGAGGATTTCAAGGATGTCCAAACAACAAAAGAAGTCTCATCAGCTTTTCCTGACCATGAACGGGACCAGAAGTTGTGAGCCATACACTAACAGAGTAGGGTCACCATTGATCAAAACTTTAACTGGGCAAGTTATACTGACAGTAGTGACAAGAGCAAGCTAGCAGCATGTGATATGCAGTGGTTGCCTTTTCTGTCCCCTCAGGACAATTTTCAGAGCTCGAATCAAGGATCCGCATGGCAGCTCAGTGGCTACACTGCTGCCTCACAGCGCTGGGGATATGGGTTCGATTCCAGTCTTGGGCGACTGTGTAAAGTTCACACATTCTCCCCTTGTCTGTGTGGGTTTCCTCCCACAGTCCAAAGACGTGTAGGTTAG